AGTTGGGGCACCAGGGTGCCCAGGCCCGGTGCCGGGAGAGTCGCCGCCGGCAGTTGCGGCACCAGGGTGCCCAGGCCCGGTGCCGGTTGAGAAGTTACTGATAGTTGCAGCACCGGGGTGCTCAGGCCCGGTGCCGGTTGAGTAGCTGTTGTTAGCGGCTGTGGCACCGGGGTGCCTAGGCCCGGTGCCGGGAAAGACGATGCCATCGCGCACAATACCGGGAGACCCAGGCCCAGTACCGGAGGCGGTGCTGTAGGAGCCGCCGACTGCCATCGGGTTGAAGCCGATGCTTGTGAGGGCGTGGAGACAGACGTCAACTCCAGGAGGCCTGGTGCCGTGGAGGAGAGAGATGCCTGAGTAGACACCACACGGCTGCGGGGATACGGCACCGGTACCGCCAGGCGAGGGGCTGGCAAGGAGCCCAGCTGCACCGAAGTTCGAGCGCAGCCCGAAGCTGACTGGGGGTGACGACCCGGCTTCGAGAACGGTGCCGTGGTAGCGATTGGTACTGACCCCACATGGGGTGGTCCCGACGCATGAGTTGCCTTAGCATGCCAACCTGGGCCATGCTTGGGCGAAGTTGTAAGCAGCTCAGCCTCTGGCGAGGGGGATCTCGACCCTTCCGTCTCAACTGACGACGGAGGGGAGGTTGTGAGGCTAATGAGGTCCTGCGCCGCTTCAAAAGTGTCTGGCGTGGATAGGCAGTGTGAAGGGAGGCGACCAGGACTATCGGGGTCTCCCCACCGACTGCGGTGCGCCACAGGCGATGTGTGCACCGGTAAGCCGGCACCGCCGTACCTGACCGAGGCCGACTTCTTTGCAGGGGACCTTCCGCGGGACTTCTTCACCCACTTGGACGGGGGAGAGTGAGATCGGTGCCGAGACCTCGACGCCGACGCACGGTGCCGGTGAGGAAGCCGGTGCACTGCGCACCATAGACTGTTCCGGCGGCACCGGTTGTAGCGCTGTCTCCATCAGGAGAAGCTTCAGGCGGGAAACTCTTTCTTTCCTCGTGCGGGGCTTAAAGGATTTACAGATCTTGCAAGCAATTGCGAGATGGGCCTTACCCAGGCACTTAAGGCAACTGTAGTGTGGGTCGCCTCTGGGCATAAACTTTCCGCAATCAGCGCACGTCTTGAAGCCCTGCGGTCCTGGCATTCCTTACCCCCAAAGGGGAAGGAAGAAAAACAAAGAACCTAACTATCTAACTAATAGAACTATTTACAGATGAGTAGGAGAACGGGAACCATTACTAACTAAGAGAGATAGAGACGCTCCAACGACCGTGACGGCGGTAAGAAGGAACTGAGGTGGGGCAGCGCCGGCAGGGGTACTTATGCCCTGCCATGGCGGCACCACTCCAGGGGGCGCCCTGCTGGCGCTACGGGTACTGCGAGGGAAAACACTCCGGAAGACGCGGTGCACACGGTGCGCACACCTACTTCGAATGGACATGAGCAACCACTCGAAGAAGAATCAAGTAATCAGTAGTACAGGTTGAACCTCTCTATAGTCCAGTTCTCTCTGGTCCAGAAACATCCATTGTCCAGAATGATTTTAATTAGCTGGATGTCCACTTTTCATGGGTGTGGCCAACTTTCCCATGGTCCCATAAACTTTGTTTACAGCCACCAGTCCTAGCTCAGTGTTCTGTGCTATTATTTAGCTCTAATGTAACCCTAAATGTTCTCTCTCATCCCAGTGAGCAATGAAATGTTGGTAATGCTGCTAGACAACACTGACCTTCTGAGGTCCAGAAAATTCATTGGTACAGAACCAGTCAGGCCCTGAGGATGCCAAACTAGAGAGGATCAACCTGTACTACTTTAGGAGCCCACCATCCTGGCATGTAACTTCCCTTTCAGCAATACTCCGTTCTCAACTTGGCCTTGTTCATAGCACTCAAAAGCCCTACCAATGACTGCAACAGGAAAGAGGTAGGTCGGCACGGAAAGAAGAAAAACAAGGCAGAGTATATGGCAATTTGGGGAAGAGTGGAGAAAAGGGAATATTACGCAGAACTTAAAGGAATGGCAGAAAGGAAAAAAGAGGAGGAAAAGAAGATATCAGAAAATACAGCTGTAATGAGGAAGAAAGAGTTGACCATCGATCTAAAATAATTGGTTCCGTCATGTCCCCCCCATGCTTTACAACAATAAATACACATAACTCAAAGACTAAGACAATATAGCTCAAGCAACATATAAATTTTAAAATTACATTCTGCCGAATGTGTATAATCTATTTTTCTGCATGTTGCTGAATGTGTATAATCTATTTTTCTGCATCTATCATTCTTGTATGTAAAGTTAGACAATCAAGTCCAAATTTGTTTATAATTCTAAATGTGCTAATAAAGGCCATTTCTGATGCTCCAGAAACCTAATGGCTTGGAGATCAAGCCAACAACCCATGAATTATTGTATTCTTCCTGAAAGCTCAAATTGTGGTTGGTCCTAGAAAGATACATGGTCAGGTCACCTGATGCTGAAACCCATTTTGGATCTTGTACTTTTTCACTTGAGGTGGGAAAAGTTTGAAGTGAGCACAAAGAATTCCTGGCTTGGGCAAAAAGGGATGGGGAAGGAACCATACAATAGGGACAATCACCAGGATACACTCTGCCACTACCACCTAAGATGCCTGCTGGAAACATCTGAAACTGAATAGGGGGAAGGATCAGGCCTCAGGCCCAAGCTAGGAGACTGCTTAGCTTGTGAAAGATGTTTAGAACAATTGTTTAGGGTAAAAATTTGCATGAAACAATTTTCTTAGTGGATTAGGATTAGCTTGCATTTTACATTTTACTTCAGTAACTTACTTGGATATTACTCCTAAGATGCCTGCTGGAAACATCTGAAACTGAATAGGGGGAAGGATCAGGCCTCAGGCCCAAGCTAGGAGACTGCTTAGCTTGTGAAAGATGTTTAGAACAATTGTTTAGGGTAAAAATTTGCATGAAACAATTTTCTTAGTGGATTAGGATTAGCTTGCATTTTACATTTTACTTCAGTAACTTACTTGGATATTACTTTGTTTTTACCTGCTACCACCTAAATTCTACTTTTTACACTTAATAACATTTTTATTATCAAGCCCAGTGTAAATACTTGTTACCATGTGTGTGTGGAAAGCAAGCAACCACTGTGCATCTCTCTCTTTCACTGATGAAGAGAACTGACCTTATGAACTTACTCAATGTAAAACTTTTACACAGGATAAAATTGATTTATTTGGGGATTTGGTCCTGTTTGGGGGTTGGTTTCCTGGTTGCTGAGCCCTTATTGTTGAGCCCTCCTGGAGCTGATCTAGATCAGTGTCTGCTGCTCTATGGGGGGCGGTAACCCCAACTCTATACCTTAGTTGGAGGAGACCAGCACTTCTGGCCAAGCAGGACAGGGTAGATAGGCAGAGGGCAGAAAGGCGGGCTAAGTGGCTAGATCAGCACACAAGGGGACAACCCCAATCGGATTTCTGTGATCAAACCTGTCACAGTTTCCACCTTTGCAATTGTGTGGCTTAGTAGGGAAGATAATGGTGGAGCCTGATTTATTTATTTCCCAAAAGAAAGAAGTCCTCATTCCATCATTGGATCATTCAGTTTGTTTTGCACCCAGAGTAAACTGTAACTGTTATGCTTCTTCTTAGGTAATTTAAACTGTTCCCTAATTGGTTCAGACATGATAAAAAATTCTAATGGTTAGACTATGAACACTGTCTATAGTTACAGCTATTCACAGTTAAGGTAAGAACTTCAGTGTCAAAGTACACCGAGTTTATGTCCTTCGCTAGCTAACGCAATGCGCCTGAAAATTAACTCAACTTATAGATGAGATAGGTATTTCCCCCCACATAAATCAGATTACAGAGTTCTTCAGGATTGCTGTGTATGTAGACACAAGTCAAACACTTTAAAAAAAAAAACAATTATAAAATGGGCTATTTTATACACAACTGCAGCCATTTCAACATTCATTATATCAAGTGAACCTCACCTTGGAATGCAAACAGAATGTTTATTTCTGTCATAAGGACTTACAAGACATAAAAGAAGTTGATGTGTGGCCCTTTCATGTTAGTAATATTTGCAAGTGATAGACTAACATCTCCATTCTGTATCATTTCAACCAAAGGGTAGGAGTATTACCTGGATTTCTATCAAGCTGTGAAGCGAGTCTTGTGTTTGAATGATCCACACGCTTTGTGCTGAAGACAACAAAATGAACAAAACATATTTAAGGCAGGGCTACTCAACTTTGGAAGCCCCAGGGGCCACAATGATACTCACAGAACATGCCAAGTTTATATGCAAATATCTTCTTCTACAGGGCATGAATACAAAGCATAAACCTTAAGCCGTGGCGCTGGACCCAAACGTGGCCAGCATGACCCAGTCAGCACCTCTCAGGTTCTGCCCAGAAGGCTAAGCAGCTGGCACTTCCCACAATGCTCTAGCTACTGCATTTTAGTTCTCTTAGGAATGTCAGATAGCGATTAATTGAATAGTTGTGTAACTGCACCGGTTACACAACTACCTGATAGTTCCCCATGGGTGGGGCTGGCAGCCAGTGCGCTCAAGACCCACTCCCAGGGAGCCCCGTCCTACCCCTCACTGATGCCTCTGTACCGGAGGCAGCAGTGCAGGGTAGCAGGCAGGAGCCGGGCCGCAAGGGGAGGCAGTTTAAAAATTGGCTTCCTGTGCACACTCCTGGTCGTGAGCTAACCCCACTACGTCTCTGCCTTTTAAGTGTATTAAGAGCCTGTTGGCTCTTAATACATTTAAAAGGCTAAAGCGCAGCAGGAGGGACCCAGCATGAGCTGAGGGGAAGCAACTAATCGAGGGACTGGTCAACTAGCCAATAAGCTTTTGTTTATCAGATAATCAACTAGTCGCTTATATCACTAGCTGCTGCCTCTCTATCATCGTGGAGCTGGGGGAGCACAAGGCTCCATGGATCCAATGCTTGTGGGGAACTGACTCCCACTTCCCTCCCCCCTTGCTGCCTCTGACACAGAGGCAGCAAGGGGGGGAGAAATGCATGGAGTTGATAAGATAAACCAATAAGCCTAGGCCAATTGTTGACATCAGCAGGGCTCGCCGAACCGCAGCGAGCCCTGCTCGCCAGCCGCGCTGTCCAGCGATCTGTGCATGCGCAGATTGTAACCTGGAAGAGCTGGGTTCGGGCAATCTACTCGCCACAGGCGAGTAGATTGTATTATTTGTCGAGCCCTGGACATTGGTGTTCCAAGATGTGCGGCTTTACAGGTGATTAATCAGCCCCGCCCAGTCAGAGCTCTGTGCACACAGCTGACTGACTGGGTTGGGGTGAACACTGGTTGACATCCCTAGTTCTCTTCACCCCAAAACTGTCATTACGTTTGCTGAAGGTAATACCCAATTTTGTAACAGATTTTAAAAATAAGGTCTTTAAATTATTCTGCTCTGATAAGTGACTGCAAATGGCAACTAGGTTTCAGATTTCTTGCCTGTAACTACACGTGAAACTTGCTAATTTTGCATGTGAAATGATTTTCCCTTTAAATGCTAGTGCCACAAGTTCATCCTGCTATCTGAATGTCAAGCTGAGTTTTTTCTGGCTCATGGACCAACAACAGTAAAAGATTCTGCAGGCCAGATCTTACCTCAGTTGCAACTGCATTATCCCATTGTTTCAGTATAAGGGGAGATTTAATTCAGGTACTATTTGACCTGATGAATCTTTTACGATCTTTTTAAAGCGCCAGTCCTACAAAAGGTGCATATATGCTAAGAACTGATGTTGACTAAGATATCAGCGTGAGTTTTTGGTTTTGGGAGTTTAAAATGAGCAACTGTCAAGTGGAGCTGCCTGTAAAAATAAGGGACCACCAAATGCCCTGTATATAAACAAAATCACTTTTCAGACTAAAATTTACCTTAAAATTTCTGTCATTTTGGAATTTAAAATATTATGTTTACATATTACATATTTTAAGAGAGCCAAGAACAAGTTCTCTCAAAAAATAACTGTAGCACCTAGGAATAAAACAAAACAAAAAGACCACATTCTGTCAAAGCTCTCTCTACTCAACACAGCTGAGATGGGTTCTTAATGGCTTAACTTCACCCACTTGTAGTCTCTTTCCCAGAATTTGACAGGTCTGACATATGAAGTGATGAATATTGCACTTCCCAGAAAGGGATTCAGGGGGGTGGAGAAGAAAGCTGAAACAGCTGCTTGGACAAACAACATTGCAGAATCTGTGGGTGACAGGGTTAAGGAAACCAAGACTACTACCTGGTTCTTTGGTAATATCACCAGGCTCTCATATAGCACTTTTAATCATTAGATCTCACAACTCTATCAAAAAAAAAGTAGTAACATTATCTCCAGTTAGCAGATGAGGAATGTGAGTCACAAACGTTGGCACCAGTAAGAACAAAGCAAGATCTCCAAAATCCTTCACATATAGGGCCCTACCAAATTCACAATCCATTTTGGTCAACTGCATTTTAGAAATTGTAAATTTCATTATTTCAGCTATTTAAACCTGACAGCAGTGCTATCTTCAGAGCTCAGCAGCAAGAGTTACAGCTGCTTGACAGAATCTCTGCCCTAAAGGCAGAGCCCCCAGAAGCGGTGCAGAAGTAATGATGACATGGAATGGTGTTGCCACCTTTACTACTGTGCTGCTTCTTGCAGAGCTGCAACCTCAATCAGCAGCTGTCACTCTCCCACTCCCTAGCTCTGAAGGCACTGCAGAAGTCACGGTAACAATATCATGACATCTGTACAATAACCTCTCCCCCAGCTTCCTTTTGCATCAGGACCCTTAATTTGAGAAACGCTGGTCTCCCTATTAGCTCTGTATAGAATAGGGTAAAAGCACACAAAAGACCAGAGGCGGGGTGGGGACAGATTTCCTGATTTGTGACAAGTTTTTCATAGCTGTCAATTTGGTAGGGCCCTATTCATGAATTTATATAAAGGAAAAGATTATTAAGCAATAAGAGGCACTACACTTTTGGGGAGGGGGACAAACAAGAAAAACAAACTTAAATTGCACATAGCAATTCTTATTCTGGAACTTCTATATTCAGTGAGAATCAACATCTGTCCCAGAACAGTCAACAATGTACAATTCTGTGGATAAAAGACTTCTAACCATGAACTAAAGACTGAAGATAGTCGTGGGGAAAAAAGGGAAATCTTCCTCAGAACCACCACCCTACAATTTTCCTGACAGAATAATCTGGTCTACAATTTTTCTGCGATGGAACTGTTCTGATTTTACTAGGATATCCAGACAGCAAATGACATATAGTTTCTTATTCACATTCATTAGGCAGGATAAGGTATTTTCTAAGTTTAGTTCATTAAGAATACTACAGTAAGAGTCAGATTATAAATAGATGTAATTAACAACAAGTTAGACTCTTCAAAGGATACGTGGCACAGCAAAGGGCTGGGCAAAGGCATGGAAAGCAGATCCCCAGGTGATCTGCCAAGGAGCAATGTAAGTGTACACAAATCTCAATTTATAAAAGAGTTCCCAAAGCTAGAAAGAAGGGGAAGAGAGAAAAATATACAAATCATTTTGTGACGTAAGTGAAATCAGGGTGTTTTACAATATGAACTTCAAAGAATATATACACAATTTTGATTTGCACTAAAATGTACACTCAATAAAATGTATTAATTTGTTTAAAAAATCTGTTATATAGATACTGAACAATCACAACAATAAAACAGATTAACATGAAAGTGTTAACATACAGTAAAACATAAGTCTGGGGAAAAAGTAAACAGTCTTACTAATAAAAACAAACAAATATTGGGCAAAAACAGAGTTTCCCTCTCTGATCTCATTGGAACATTATCAGCACTTCGGAAACCTTACTGGTCTTGTGTGTACTAGAACTGGTCTGCCAAAGTTCTTCCAGCCATACGTTGTGTCAGGAAACTAAAAACTAAATCACACAAGTCACAGCTTCTTTGCTCCAAAGAAGTGCTGGATCACATAAATACTACAGGTTGAACCTCTCTATTCCTGAATACTCTGGTCTAGAAACCTCCATTGTCCAGAATGATTTTAATTAGCTGGATGTCCACTTTTCAAGGATGTGGCCAAGTTTCCCACAGTCCCATAAACTTTGTTTACCAGACCAAACTCTCAGTGCTCTGTGGTATTATTTCGCTCTAATTTACCCCTAAATGTCCTCTAACAGCCCAGTAAGCAGTGGAAGTGCTGGTAATGCTGCTAGACTATACTGACCTTCCCTGGTCCAGAAAATTCTCTGGTTCGGAACCGGTCCGGTCCCGAAGGTGCCAGACTAGAGAGATTCAAACTGTACTAGGAAGCAAATATTCCCAGCTCTCTAGTAGTATGTGGTCATTTATTCATAATACTGATAGCCTGGGAGATTACATAGCCACCAGTAGTATTTCCATTCCCAAGATTTTCAAACGTGGTGATCTGAAATACCCAAGTTTCAGTAATATGTAATTTTGTGTAAAGTTACCTTGCTGAAGAGTATGGACATGAAGAAGAGGTCCAGCAGCATGGTTTCAGAAAAACTTTTGTAGTCAAATGTAAAGAAGAGCACTGTGAAAATAACAGTGACATACTGGCAGGTTGGGTTGCTGAAAGAGGAACGCAATAACTTCAAACCAGCTATGGTGATCATTAAAGCTCCAATCCTACAAAAGGAGTACAGAAAAAAAGTTATTCATCTGCAGTTTGCTGCTTTCCAGTTAAGCAATTCCAATTTCGTCACACTCAATACTTAACAGTCATGATAAGGTTTTTTTTACATTACAACTATAGTATTTCCTTCATTATTCCTAATTAAATCAATATGCTACAAAAACAATATCAGCACAAATTGTGGGATAGTCTCCCTAAAAATACAGCAAAAAAAACATTTGAGAGAAATGGAGCTAATATGTATAATGTCACAAATACTGAGGCAATAACTTTATGAACACTGACTAGGGATGTGAACAACTAGTTGAGGAGTGGACTAAGCAAATGCATATCGGATAGACAGCAAAGGTGAGGCAACAACTAGTCGACTACTGCGTTGACTATCAGAAAGAGGCAGCAAGGGGATGGGGGAAAAGAAGAGGGTGCTTCAAAGCCATGTGGAGTCCAGAGAAAAACCGCGTGCAGCCCAGGGCCAGCTGGGGAATCCCCAGTTGATCCTGGACTCCCCGCGGCGCTGCCACTTTGAAACGCCACAAGAAGCCCTGCAACGGCCGCACAGAGCCCGGGGTCAGTGGGGGGGTCCCCAGCTGACCCCAGGCTCCATGCGGCTCTGCCATTTTGAAATGCTGTGGGGAGCATGGAGCTAGTGGCCCCATACTCTCAGCAGCGCTTTCACCTTTGAAGTGTAACAATAGCCCTGGGGCTGTTTCAACACTTCAAAGGCAGAAACACCTTATTGACTAATCAAATAGTCAATGCAAATTGCACCAACTGTTCGATTAGTCAATTAATTGAAATTTCACATCCCTAACTGTGACTGGGTCAAGGAAGGGAACTTTATTGCACATTAGTTATTAGAACGGGCTGTATGATGATACTGAACTAATCCATATGGGGGTGATGGAAAATTATACACCTATAGTGCTCAAATTCAATGAGGTTTGTGTATAAAGATGACAACGGTTTACTAGACAAGAACATCCAAGGAAAGACAATGAGAAAAGCTGTCAGTTTCAAAGATGTAGTCTTCCCTGAGTTGCAAAGCATTTTCTGAGAGATCTGGTAGTTAATAGATCAGGGTAGGCAATTTTTGACCGGGGGGGGAAGAGGAAGAGGGGGAGACGGGACTACTCCAAGATTTTGGAAAGAGATCAAGGGCCACTCTCTTACATGATATTAATGGAGGAGATGCGGGGTCTGAGATGTAGGTTGGATGCAGAAGAGCACCTGAGGTAAGGGTCTGGGGTGCAGGAGGGAGAATTGGGTTTGGGAAGGAGTTTGGCTGAACGAGGCAGTTGTGACCTAGGGTAGGGGACTGGAGTGCAGGAGTTTGGGTTGTGACCTAGAGTATGAGGGGATCGTGATCTGGAGCAGAGGATTGGGGTGCCAGATCTTGAAGGGAGTATGAGTGCAGAGGATTTAGGTATGTTGAGTGTAGGGGCAAAGGATTGGGGACGGAAGGAGCTGGGTGCCAGAGGCAGGCTCTGGCTAGGAGACTTACCAGCCAGCAGCCCAACCAGCCTACCTGCCTGTACAGCTCAATGCTTGCAGAGCTTAAAACATTTCTCAGCCAGCCAGCCCCATGCCTGCACAGGCTGCAGGGCCATGTGCTTGCATGAATAATTGAGTGGGAGGTGAGGGAGGCATGATGTTTCATGTGCTGCCTGTTATTGAAACAGGCAGCTCCCACTGTCCAGTTTTTGGCTGGAAACCAGCCAATGGGAATGTGTTGAAGGTGGGGGCAGCACATGAAGCCTTCTTCCCCTCCCCTCTGGGATCAGATTTGAAAGAGAAACGGCCTTGCTGCCGCTTTTCTGAGTGGTGTTCAGGGGAAGCAGGAAGCCTCCCTGGTGCTCCTGCTGCATCCCCAGGCCGGATCCAGTGGCTTGGCGGACTGCATCCAGCTCGCAGGCCATTATTTTGCCCAATCCTGTATTCTCACATTTCAAGTGTTATTTGATGCTTACGAAACCAAGGAGGCTACTGGCTGATATGGAGAGATTCTGCAGAGAAGTCATCCCAGATCGATAGGACACTAAGTCTTATGGAAAGATTGCATATGCATGCAATCAGTTTAGCTGTTTTAAGACTTTTTCTCTAAAATGCTGTTCTGAATAAATGTCATCTTGCTTTAAGATGACCATTTGGTTACTCTATTATTTCTCTCTGAGGGACCAGAGCTGCAGTCAGACCTGTTGTAATAATCAGTGTCAAGGCAGTGCAGTCAAAGATCAGTCTGACAGCAGATGAACTGTGTAGTTCTACCCAGCACAAGATGACAACTAAAGGAGGGGGTGAGAGGTGCATTTAGCTCAGTAACTTACTTATTTTTTTAAGCTTTTAAATGGACAACACACCAAAGAGTATTTTAGGGAATAATTCTGCATTGGCAGGGTTAGGCTGGATGGTAACAAAACTATTTTCTCGGATGGCTGCAATTTGATAGATTACCAGAAAATTCTGTGGCTTGAAATTTGCATAGTATTTGATATGACCCAAGGGGATTTTTGTAACAAATCTGAAATATTTCATTCAGTCTAAGTCAGATGGTGATTCAGCCATTTAAATTTGCAAGGTACCGAAAATAGTAGTTTGTACCTTGTTTTAATTGCAACTCATATTTACTAAACTTCCACCACGGATGTCCATTATGATGCCCTTTTCCATTTTCTTCTGCCATATTGGGTATAGTCAAGATACTGGCTATATCTTTTCTACTTACTCTGCGTCCAGTTTCTTTGGACTAGCAATGTTCTTGGCACTGCTGCTGAGCTCATTGAGGATGATCAGTGGGTAGATAACATTCTTCTCCACAAAGAGGAGCCATACATGAAGTTTCTCAAACCACATTACATGGGCAGCATCTAACAGGACAGCAAAACAAAGAGTACAGATAATACCAGGGATCTAAATAGTTCACATTAGGATATGATGCTGTTCATTTCAGCACTAGATCAGTTCCAAATCAGTGTAGGTCATCTAAGAACAGAAGTATTGGTACTCAGGCAATATGTGAATAACTGCTGTTTCCTTACCAGTTTCAGCAGAGAAGCCAAAGACTAATAAGGATTCTCAAATTGAACTACCTTTCCAAACACAAAAACAATCTTTCCAAGTCACATCTGAATATTACTGGAGGGAAGTTTGCACTATTGTATCTGTACAAAGTTTCCTATAGTTTGGATTCTGGCAAATGTATAGAGTTTTTGCATATCAGCAAACATGATTACTTTATTGAAGGGGGGGAAGTGGTTACCATAGCTATAGAGTTAAAATGCCTCAGACATACATCCTGTGGGTATGTCTCCATTTGCACCCTCTTTCAAGAGAAGAATGCAAATGAAGACATTCGAAATTGCAAATGAAGCCTGGATTTAAATATCCCGCGCTTCATTCGCATATTCACGTTATGGCGCTATTTTGAAATAGTGCTATTTCGAAATAACAGGCGCTTTTAAGACACGGTTATTTCGAGAGAAAACCCTTCTCTTGAAATAACTGATAAACCCCATTGTATGAGGAATAAGGGTTATTTCGAGAGAAGAGTTTTATCTCAAAATAACGTCTTAACGGCGCCTGTTCTTTCAAAATAGCACTATTTCGAAATAGCGCTAAAACGTGAATATGCAAATGAAGTGCAGAATATTTAAATCCCAGCTTCATTTGCAATTTCAAATGTCTGCATTTGCATCCCTCTCTCGAAAGAGGGTGCAAGTGTAGACATACCTTTACAGTGTAGAAGAATTTAATTATCCTGTCATAAAATAACACCTAATAACCTCTTCTGATCTTTTGCAAAAACCCCTTACTACAGGGCTGGACAATAATTTTTTATGCGTAGGGTGGGGGGCACACCAAGAATTTGCAAAGTGGTCAAGAACCACACTCTTCCATATTAACTGAGGTGGTGTGGGGTGGGGTCTGGGATGGAGGTTGGGTGCAGAAGAGAGCTTGCAGTAAGGGATTGAAGTGCAGGAGCAGGTGTGGGGTCTCGGAGGGAGTTTAGGTAACCAGGAGAGGGAACTGGGGTGCAGGAGTTTGGGTTGTGACTTTGGGCAGAGGATTGTGGTGCAGAGTCAGGGAGGTTATGGGTGCAGGAATAGGGGCTGAGGAAGGGAGGTAGTGGAGTGCTAGAGGCAAGCTCTGGCTAGGAGACTTAGCTGGGGGACTTCTGTCCAGCAGCCCAGCAGGTTTCTCAGGCAGACGCCCTGCCTACCCATGCACTCCGTAGCAGCTGCTTGGCTAAAGCAATCCCCCCCACTCGCTGAGGCCAGGCTGGAGTGGCCCCCCCTATCACAGGCAGGGGCTGCCAGAGCCTGGCCATATTCATGGCAAACCCAGGCCCACTGAAGGTAGGGCTGCTCCAAGTGACTGTGGTGAGCCCCCCGCAGGGCTGTAGCAGACACATGCCCATGGCAGTCGGGGAGCTGCTCCAGCCCCACCGGTTAACCAGCTAGCCTTTCACATCCTTATCAGGAAGAGCAGACCACTGCCTACCCTATCTCAGGTGAATTCTTCTCTGTTGTGCAGGGGCCAGGCCAGGGTACCCTATGATCTGTAAAATTTCATACTAACATATATAGAATCATATAGAAAGAAACTTGAGGTCATCGAGTCTAGTCCCCTGTACTCATGGCAGGGCCAAGCACCATACATCATTCCTGATGGATGTGTATCTAACCTGCTCTTAAAAATCTCCTATGATGGAGATTTCAAAACCTCCTTGGGCAATTTATTTCAGTGCTTAGCCACCCTGACCCGTTAGAAAGTTTTTCCTAATGTCCAACCTAAACCTCCCTTGCTGCAATTTAAACCCATTGCTTCTTGTACTATCATCAGAGGTTAAGGAGAGTCATGCCCCTTCTTAGTCTTTTTATTTATTTTATAGCTTGAATTGTGCATATACATGTAGAAAACAATATGAATATTAGCACACAATATTGCAAACATAAGCACTGCAGCCCTGTCAAACAAAAGTGTTTTTCAGTCTATACATGTCAATTCTCAGCCATAACACTGCATTTAGATAGATTTTTCACATTTATATTTTTCTTCACAAAAAATCAGGTATCAAATTAGCAGAATAACTATTTATTTCAATGTGTTATCACAATAATGGAATTTAAAACTGCGGCTATAGGGACTGGTTTTGAAATAGCAATTTATCTGACTAAACTACAGCTTAATATGAGAAGACCATACATACATTCTGGTATGAGATGAAGTTTTTTAGATACAAATATGACAGCACCTCTAGAACTAGGTAAAGATGCTTCTTTGCTACAAATTTATTTTCTCTTTGTTACTACTGAACTATCTACTAATTTCCATTTACAGGGCTACTAGAAAGTTACTGACTTTGTAGTTCTTATTTGCTGTTAAATGATTCCAATAGCAGACAGTACAATTTGTAGTTTCTTGTATGCAATGATAGATTTAGTTAAGGTTAACACTGAGTTCTTGTTATGTGTTAACTTATAAAACGTCAATAAAACTTGTTTTTATCTATAATGGGTGCCTGTGAATTCACGTTCTGAATGCAGAACTGGACAGTTCTCTGATGTATTTTCATTCGCCCAATCCAGCAATTAGAATGGGAAATGGGTTAGAAAGCTGAGGTTCTATACAGATTTTTCCACTGACTTGTAACATATTTTTGTAGCAAATATTTAGGCACTGATCAACATGGACAAATGCTTATGCATACACACTCCACAGCATGTAGAAGTAAGGCTTTACTAAAGCCAAGGCCCCATGCAAGTTATAACCACATAGGTGGCCTTTGGAGATTGGGGCCTTAGTTTGTTTTCACACTTACAAATGAGTGTAATCATTTTTTACCTTTATAAAGGCTTGAGAGCCTCACATGAATTATATTATTATATGTAATTTAAATCATTTTAAGACTTTTTGTAACTTTTATATATATAAATTGTTCCCTTTTGACAAACTCTATAGAAAACAAGTGTCATAAAAAGTTTCATTAATGAAAGAAATAAGATGGAGGTGCATTTCTTTAGATTTAAAGTAAAGATAAATGTATGTTTAAGCAAGTGTGTATATATGCAGTTTCACTCTATGAAACACATAAAATATACTACAGTACATTTTCAGACATTTGGCGGTTATTTTCAAACTACATTTCTACAAACATGCCAAAAGCATTAGTCTTTAGTATAGACCAATATAGCAAGCTGAAAGTAGACAAGTGGGTCTGAAATATCTAAAATAAAAACAATTCAGACCCTCCAAAATGCTGAAAAAATTCAGTGGAAAGGCACGTTTGCCAAAATGTTACAAGAGAAAATTTCAGCACAGAGAGTAAGTTTTCAACACTTGTAAAATCCTGAAAACAAGAGTTCAATGAAATTGCCTTCATCATAACAGCAGCATTGCTAATGTGAAGCCATCATAATTACTTATTAAAGATACCCAACATGCCATATGGTCAAGCAAGGCATGCTGAGCTAGGAGACAATAAACATGGTCAACGAGAAGCCCTTAAACATTTAAGCAGTGGCAAGTTATAAAGCAAAAAGTTAAAGCAATGGTTAATATAAACTGCTCAACCATTAGTGCAAATTAAAAAAAGTTACTGTTACTTACTTCGGACTTCAAACTGATAATATTCCTTGGTTTTCAGCAGTGAGTGAGAGAAACAGTGCCAAGGAAGCTGCTTTCGGAGTTGAGGCAACACATAATGGGTTAAAAATCCTACAGACCCCACCAAAGCATACAAAATGTAGCTAAGGACAGGCTAAAGAAAAAGCAGAGTTGAACAAAAAAAAAGATATTAGTCTTATAAACATGAAACAAATGTGCTAACAAGCTTGATGCTTTCTATAATCTTTATAAATCAGCCCGTAAAAGCCAGTCTGAACAGCGTTTCCCCCTTTAACGCAAGAAAGTATTATGTCAACTTTAAGAATGTAAAATAGTAAGGGATGGCTCAGAGGATAACACTTCTAAACTAGACAGATTATCCTACTCTATGATAGAAGATCTTGCAATACCATAAAAGAGTAGGATAATCTGTCTATGATAGAAGATCTTGCAGTACCATAAAAGACAGATTATCCTACTCTTTTATGGTACTGCAAGATCTTCTATCATAGACCGTTCATTCTATCCTGGAAAGAGTCTTTCTACTAAATAGAAAGGAGGTGCAAGTGCATTCTGATTATATTTTAAAGATATTTCTTGAGGAACAGTTAAATATCATCCTCTCACTACAGTGCACCTTTTACATACAGCGATATAATATCACCTCTATGTAGGTGTGTTCATTGCTGCTTTAAAATTTTACAGCTGCACTCACAGTATCTTTAGAGATAGAAATGTAGCCGTGTTAGTCTGGGGTAGCTGAAGTAAAATGCAGGACAATGTAGCACTTTAAAGACTAACAAGACGGTTTATTAGATGATGAGCTTTCGTGGGCCAGACCCACTTCCTCAGATCAAATAGTGGAAGAAAATAGTCACAACCATCTATACCAAAGGATACAATTAAAAAAAAGAACACATATGAAAAGGACAAATCACATTTCAGAACAGGATTGTTCTGAAATGTGATTTGTCCTTTTCATATGTGTTCTTTTTTTTAATTGTATCCTTTGGTATAGATGGTTGTGACTATTTTCTTCCACTATTTGATCTGAGGAAGTGGGTCTGGCCCACGAAAGCTCATCATCTAATAAACCGTCTTGTTAGTCTTTAAAGTGCTACATTGTCCTGCATTTTGCTTCAGTATCTTTAGAGACATGGATATGCCTTTTCCATTACAACAGTAACTACTGCCAAAGTTAAACTGGCCACAAATTCACAAAGTTAAAACTTTTCATATGGGTCTCTGTTTAGAAGTTCATTTTTAAATTTCTAATCTCTTTGCCCATTTAAAATAAACTTGAGCATAATAAATGACAGATTGAACCTCTTTAGTCTGGTACTCTCTGGTCTGGCAACACCTGTGGTCTGGCATGATTTTAGTTGGATGTCCACTTATCATGGGTGTGGCCAAGTGTCCTGCAGTCCCATAAAGTTGGTTTACAGCCACTAGTCCTGGATCTCAGTGTTCTGTGCTGTTATTTAGCTCTAAATTACCCATAAAAGTCTTCTAAAACACCAACAAGCAGTGGAAGTGTTGGTAATGTTGCTTAAACATAAACATGTTTTTTATGCTTTAGTTACTTATTTCCTTGTGCCAATACAGTAAAATTGTGTAACCCGGTGTGTGTTTGTTATGAAGAAGGCTTAAACCTTGGCTCGGCATAGGCTTATATAGGATGTATCAGTATAGTCACATATTAAGCACCACTGCAAGTGCTGTTCCATTTATTCACCTTGGTAAAATAAAATAAAGAGACCCACTCAATACAATATTGAACTTCCATGGTTTGACACCAGTCAGTGCCCGAGGGTGCCAGATTAGAGAGGCTCAACCACCACCACGTAACCAACTTCCTTAGCTGGGGATGAAAGCCACATTGATGGGTAGAGTTTGGGCTTTCTAGAAAATAAGAACGGCCATACTGGGTCAGACCAAAGGTCCATCTAGCCCAGTAACCAGTCTGCTGACAGTGGCCTGCACCAGGTGCCCCAGAGAGGGTAGACCAAAGACAATGATCAAGCGATTTGTCTCCTGCCATCCTTCTCCAGCCTCTGACAAACAAAGGCCAGGGACACCATTTCTATCCCCTGGCTAATAGCCTTGTATGGACCTAACCTCCATGAAATTATCTAGCTTCTCTTTAAACTCTGTTATAGTCCTAGCCTTCACAGCCTCCTCTGGCAAGGAGTTCCACAGGTTGACTACACGCTGTGTGAAGAACAACTTTCTTTTATTAGTTTTAAACCTGCTACCCATTAACTTCATTTGGTGTCCTCTAGTTCTTCTATTACGGGAACTAATAAATAACTTTTCTTTATTCGCCCTCTCCACACCACTCATGATTTTATATACCTCTATCATATCCCCCCTCATTCTCCTCTTTTCTAAACTGAAAAGTCCCAGTCGCTTTAACCTCTCCTCATATGGGACCCGTTCCAAACCCCTAATCATTTAGTCGCCCTTTTCTTAACCCTTTCCAAGGACAAGGTGAGGAGACCACATCTGTACACAGTATTCAAGATGTGGGCATACCATAGTTTTATACAGGGGCAGTAAGATACTCTGTGTCTTATTTTCTATCCCTTTCTTAATAATTCCTAGCATCCTATTTGCCTTTTTGACCGCCGCTGCCCACTGCGTGGAAGTTTTCAGAGAACTGTCCATGATAACTCCAAGATCTCTTTCCTGATTTATCGTAGCTTAACCAGTTCTCAATCCATGAAAGGACCTTCCCTCTTATCCCACGGCAATGAAATTTACACAAGAGCCTTTGGTGAAGGACCTTGTCAAAAGCTCTCTGAAAATCTAAGTATACTATATCTACTGGATCCCCTCGTCTGCATGTTTGTTAACCCCTTCAAAGAACTCTAATAGATTAGTAAGACAGGACTTCCCTTTACAGAAACCATGTTGACTTTTGTCCAACAAATTATGTTCTTCAACATGCCTCACAATTTTATTCTTTACTATTGTTTCAACTAATTTGCCCGGTAGTGAAGTTAGACTTACCGTTCTGTAATTGCCAGGATC